GTTTCAAATTGCAGTAGTTCCACAGTCACTTAATTCCCATGTAGGCTGAGTTATTGGATTTTCTGTACAGAAGCTGTGCAGGCAGCTTCTGATCTCTGAAGTTTATGGATGGGATTGAAGCAGGAAGCAAATAAGAAGTGCCTCATAACATAAATTCAATTTCAGACTCTTGAATGTGCAAAGAAATTCTCCCATCACAAATTCAGCTTTTGTTAATGCCAGAATTCAGCTTTACTTGGTACTCTTTGAGGAAAGTGAACATTAGCTAGCTGAAGAGTCTGGGTAATTCTGTATCTCTGGTACCAGGGATGACGAGTGTCTTTACAGCAGGTTAGCGTGTCCAGTGACCCATTAACAATGAGAAATAGGTATTTAATGTTGCCAGCTGCAACGCTATTTATTACTTGCATTCAACTTCAGGCTTCACTGACTGCTCTAGAGACTGAACATTTCTACCTCTTTCCCCTCAGTAATTTCCCATGATGTTTGCCTACAACCTGTATGAGTAGCAACATCTGCTTTTACTGACAGATCTAAAAGAGTTCTCCAGTTTTACAAAGTCTTAGAAACATCCTTACTTGTTTCACTGGATGGGCTTGGATCCAAAGAAAAGAAGAGGACATCAATCAGATCAGAGGCTGGACCACCGTGATACTGCTTTAGTGCGTTTAGAGCTCTGCCACAGAAAAAAACAGGTTATAAGCATTGTGTGTATTCCTTCAAAAGATTCCCTGCACAAGTCAGAGGCCAGAGCAGTGTATTCTGGTGACAGAAGTTTTTGGGCACAACAGGCTGATTGTATCTAACTGCTGCATCCCTGACTCCTCACATCCCCTGAACCTGCCACACATTTCCCCTTTCTTCTCTTGTCCTGGTTTGACATAGTTGGATCTTATGATTTTTCAGCACATCCGTTCAGCCAAGTGCCGAGATCAGCCTCAGAAGGGTTTTCCTAGAATAAGCCTGGCAATTTTCAACTGGCGTCTGTGCTCCTGAGTGGTGACCCTAGGTGAGCTGCCACCTCACAGCCCTTACTTTTTTATCCTGTTGTAGGTGATATCGTTGGCTAATTTCAGCAGGCGGTATGAGCTCTCATGATCCACACTCAGCATGCCATCTCGAGATTCCTCAAAGGCAATGGTCACTGCTCTGGAGGTGACACGTGTTACAATGCCAGTGGAGAGCAGATCGCCTTGGCCAACTGAATTGTAAAGGCCCACAATGTCACCTGCAAAGACAAATTAGAAGAGAGCATGAAGTGTGGCAAATGTTTTGAGAAGAAGCTCTCTTGAGGAGACTAGCATAGTCCTATGAAGACAGTAGGCCCATATGCACCAAACACAGGACTAACCCCATGTTTCCTGCCAAGGTGAGAAGCCCATAAAGGAGAATACAATAGGATAATAGAATGGCTTGTGTTGGGAAAGACTTTAAGGATCCAGCAGAGAGGGTTACCAATCATTGGATCAAGTATTCAATCAGGTTGCCAAGGGACCCATCCAACCTGGCCTTAAACAGTTCCAGAGATGGAGTATCCAAAACCATTCTGGGCAACCTGCTCCAGCACCTCACCACTCTCAGTGAAAAACTTTCCCCTGACATCTAATCTAAATCTCCATTCCTTTAATTTAAAACCATTCCCCTTTATCCTATCAATATCTATTTTTGTAAAAAGTTGATTCCCTCATTTTTACAAACTTCCCTTAAATATTGGAAGGCCACAGTGAAGTCTTCCTGTAGCCACCTTTATTCCAGGATGAACAAGATTTGTTCCTGCAGCCTATCTGCATGAGAGAGGTGCTCCATACCTTTGATTACCTCCATGGCCCTCCTCTGGACCCTCTCCAACAGCTCCACATCTTTCCTGGGTTGGTGGCCCCAGATCTGGACGCAGTACTCCAGATGGGGCTTCACAAGAGCTGAGTGGAGGGGGACAATCACTTCCCTCTCCTTGCTCACCATTCCTATTTTAATGTAGCCCAGGATATACTCGGCCTTCTGGCTGCAAGCACACACTGCTGGCTCATGTTAAGTTTTCCATCAATCAGTACCACTAAATCCTTCTCAGCAGGGCTACTCTCAAGGAATTTTTCCCCCAGTTTGTACACGTATTTGGGATTACCCTGACCCAGGTGCAAAACTTTGCACTTTACTTTGTTGAACCTCATTAGGTTCACAAGCGCCCACCTTTCGATAAAGGTGGAGGGACCTTGATAAACCTTTCGAGTTTATCAAGGTCCCTCTGGATGGTCCCTTCCTTCTGCTGTATAAACTGCACCACTCAGTTTGGTGTCATCAGAAAACATGCTGAGGGTGCACTCAATCCCATCATCTATATCACTGATAAATCCTTCTCTTTCCTGACAAAGCATGCAGCAAGAAGCAGTGAAAAGACAGTAACCAGCTACCTTCAGACCCCATACGGCTTGGGGTAGAGACCACCAGTACTCTCCACTATGCTGCTCAGAAATGTAACATTTTTTCACACAAACCCTGGAGGGCCTGACTTCTCTAAGGTCTAAGACAAAATTTTTAACATTTATTTTATCTTTCAGTCATAGCCAAGGGGCCTGCATGACAACATGTGCCTCCCAGAGGACTATTTTATGCCAGTCAGTAGAAGTAAAAAAGAAAGAGATTCTCAAAGGGCTCACAATAGCCATTCTGCTCTTCATACATATCTATGAGATAGGATCAGTCAGATTATGCAGTTCAGTGGTGAAATGGAGATTTTGAACAAGGTGTCTAGCAAGTGGACAATTTAAATGGGTCTCAGGCTTACTGAGGACTAAATTTCAGACTAGCAAACTAATGGAAGTTCTTAATTATTGTTCATCAGCTCCTGCATTAAAATGTTTGTCTCTTAGGAATAGTTTACTGCTATAGCAATGTTATTTCTCTGTGAAAAGCACTGATGGATGCTGCTTCTTAGACCTCAAGGCTGAGACCCAAGTCTGCAAGGAGTTCTTTTAATTTCACAGGTTGGAGACTAGGCTGGTAAAGACATCAACAAACTGAATGGCAACCCACTTTGAAACAGTACCACAGATAAGAAACAGACCAGTTTCCCACGATGTATCTGCTTAGCAAGCTAATTGATTCATCAAACAGAAGAAAGCAAATTATTAAATGAAACCAGCAACACCAGCCCTTCTCTTAAGGACCAGCTTTGGAGAATGCAAAGCAATACCCTTGTTGCCTAAGGAAAAGGGAAAAAGGGTCTCTGCAAGAAAAAGAAGTTACTTCCATTGTCACTTGGAACTATTTCACAGTCAAACCCAAGTTCTTCCAAGGGGTAAGCAGCTGGCTATAGCTGGCAGACTGGTTCCTCACCTACCTCAGATACCAGCAACCATTCAGCTCTGACATTCCCAGTTGTAATTTCAAGGAACTGATGGCAGAGGATAAGGGACAATTAGGAAGAGTGCTGGCTGATGTGTTGGTGAGCCTTTTTCTAGTGTCTCTATTTCCAGGTATTAACACACGTGGTGTATACTTCACATCTTGATAAAAAAAATAACAGTACAAGGAAGGGAGGAAATTGGCAGCTCATGAAGGAAAAGAAAGCCCATTTTCCATTTTGAAAATGAACTGCAAGGTAAACTCCTTACCTACTCTAAGCATGAACACAGTGGCTCGTATAAAGCATGCTAAGAAATCTTTAATGGTGGGATACCATGGCTTTGTTTTTAAGGATTCTGAACCAGGAAAGCTTGCTTGTTACAACAGGCAGTATTTCCTGCTGCAACATCCATGCTAATAATAAGCTGAAAGAGAAAGACAACCTATTTCTCTACATTCACCCTCTAACCACATTTTCTCACTTCCTCTTTTCCTCAATCATTCAGTCTTTACAAGCGTTGCATTAGAAATACTTTTGGCAGAGCATATCAGTCATCTCCTGCTTTGCACAAATGGGACTATCACTTACCAGGCCCAAAACTGTTATAGGGCAGCTCGGTGTCTGAATCATATTTTCTAGGCTGAAATGTCACAAGCAGACGCCCATAGAGGCCGGTTTTTTGGTTGGCAGCTTGAAGTTTTAGTAAGCAGACACCTCTGCGCTGCAGTTCCTTTAAGGAGATGTTTTCCTGCCATGCTCTGAAAGCACAAACAGATATGAAAACCATTTGTTAGATTTAAATAAACCAAACACTTCAGAAGACAAAACAGAAAAAGACAAACCAGGGAGGAGACAGAAAAGATGGATGATGGCAAAAGAGATGCTAGCTTGTTGAAGTATTGATTTACATATCTTTTTGTTGTGATGCAATTGGATTGGATTCTATATATTTCCTTCTCCAATGTGACATATTTTGAGGAATGGGGAGAAGCCTACATAGTATGGAGATGTAAGTGTTTATTTACATGTACTTCTTCTGTCTGGATGCATAAAACACTGCTCAGCTCATGAGCCAGCAGAAAGTGATCCAAGCTTTCTCCTATCGCACATAAGCTCTTAAATGGAAGGTTTGCTGTTTCTCACATGAAGATTTTGTGCAAATCCCCAACTAATATCCCCAGAGGCACTACACAGAGAAGAGAGCCTTCTACATGGGACTGAGACACAAATTACCATTGGCAGCTCTACAGCCTTTTGGCTCAGCATTAGCCAGAGCAATTAGGTGGATTCTTTATTTTTTGATAGATTGACAGGGAGGAAAGAAGGAAAGAAAATCCACCTTGTTCAACTTTTACTTTTCCAATTTGTCTCACAGACTGGGGCTAGGGGAGTTTTAAGCAGCAGGACAGAAGCAGCAGGACAGAGATATGTGCAGACTATGGAGGTCAAGGGGCCCCAACTACCAACACAGTGAGGTCAGAGCCCATAAGTGACTCAGTCTGATAGGGGCGAGTTGACCCTATAGAGGTGAGCCCCATAGCTGACAGCAGGTCTCATATGAGCGCTGCTATAGGGTTCATATAGAGCTTCGGTCCTATAAGAGTGTGCTGAAGGGTTTCTATAGGGCCATGGCGCTACCTTCTCTCGGCGAGCTCAGCCTCCCGCTCCTCCCTCAGCAGCTCCAGCAGCCGTTCAGCCGCCTCCGCAGCCATCTTGGCCCCACGGGCATTTCCGCTTCCGGGTCGGAGGGGGGATGCTGTCATGGCGGCGCTGGCAGCAGCAGTCAGGCGGCGAGCGGCAGGTGAGGGACGGCTGGGTGGGAACGGCCAGCCTTCGTCTCTGGCTTCTTGCTGCTCGCAGGGCGGGCTGTGAGGAACGCGAGGGGAAACGTGCGTGAAAAGTCGGCTCTGTGACTTTGTGAGGGGGTGTGCTGTGAAGAGCTACGTGTGGCTCGCCTCCGTGAAGGTGGGGTGAGCCGGTGGGTTTGGGGTTAAGGGGCTTTCAGCGTGCCTTTTGGCTGGTGGGTGAGGAAGGCGGTGATCCTGTAAGGGAACTGTGCGTTTTAATTGAGAAAATTGCTTCAGCAAGGCTTGTTGCTGTTTCTGAGATGATTAGCCTCTCAGCATATGTTCCTGGGTCTCTCCTCTGAAAATACTGAATCTATATTCTAAAGTGTAACGTGAGTTACACTGTTAGTGGGTATGGTGGGGTTGGGTTGATGGTTGTATTTGTTGATCGTAGTGGTTTTTTCCAACCTGAGTGATTCTGTGATTCTGGGTTGTAGTAAGCCGCTGTTCTTGCTGTGTTTGTTATTCTCACCTATTTAGCTCCATAACTCCCTATCCCTCCGGCCTAGAAGAAAATCAACATCTGGAATGGTGGAAATCCAGACACAAAAGCAGTGAAACCAAACCTGGTGTACCTTCTGCTCTTCCATTTGGTCTTCCCTTGGGGTTGTGGTATCTGCTTGGAGTCCCCAGGACTTCAAGCCACACTCCTGTGGTGGGCTTTTAGTTGAAAACTTCCTAAGACTCAAAAAATTTGCCTAGAATCACCTGAGAAATGAAGTGTAAGCGTTCTTGTCCCCATTTTGGGAGGGATCCTTTTAGCAACAGTGCGGAGTTAAGAAAGCACACGACAGTTCAGACCACTTGCTCCCCTGTGCCCCTTGGTTGTTTTGTTCTGTTGTTCTTTCAAGGAGGTAGGGTGCTATGAGTGTATCGCTTTGAGGTGCACTCTTCGTGTATCTGTTCTGTCTTGCTGGAAGTGGCACTTGAGCCAAGTGTGCTTGTAGGATAAGACCTTTCTCTTGCTCTCATGCAGTGCTACACACAGCTGACAGTCCTTTGTCAGCATTGATGAGGCCACATCTTGAGATTGTGTGCAGTTTTCTTCCAGTGAAGGGTCTAGAGCATAACTCTCATCGAGAGTGGTTGAGGGAACTGGGATTGTTTCCAGTGGAGAAGAGGAGGCTTGGGGGAGACCGTATGGCTCTTTACAACTCCCTGACAGGAGACTGCGGTGGGGAAGCAGCCAGCCTCTTCTCCCAGGTAACAGCAATAGGATGAGAAGTGATGGCCTCAAGTTGCACCAGGGGAGCTTCAGATTGGATATTAGTTTTTTTTTTAAAAAAAAAATAAATCTCAAAAAGAGGAACAGGTTGCCCAGGGAAGTGGTGGAGTCATCATACCTGGAGGTGTTCAAGAGCCATGGAGGTACCACACCAAGGGATGTGGTTAGTGGGTTATCAACGTATCAATCTGGGAGGTCCTTTCCAACATTTATGATTCTATGGTCATGTGCCTTCTTTTGCATTCTTCATTGTGGTAGAACCTGAATAAAGTTTTATAGGCAGAAAACAGTATCAGGAAGTGGTGATGTTTCCTTCAGCATCACTGTACTATTGCCTCACTAAAAGACTAAGAGTCCAACTGTTGCTGCTTGGTTTTAATACTTTCTCCTTCTCTCCTTTTTTAGCTTTCTTGTTTTCATCTGTGGTTCGCCTCCAGAGCTCCCAGAGCACATCTCTACAGGAAGGGTAATGTCAAATGACACTCTGCTTTCATTTTTGCCCCCTTGCTTACCAGGAGGAGTGTGGGAGGGGGAATGGAGCCAGGAGCCTGTTTCTCTATAGGAGAGAGACTTACCAGATCCCTTCGTTTTTTACTTCTGAATAAGATTTAGACACTCTGCCTCCCCTTTGTCACCTGTGCTAGGCCACTTGCATTGCCTTGTGAAGCTGAATAAAGAGATAATTAAACCTTCCACTGAGCTAAAGGCTGCAGTGTGGTTCAGTCCATAGCAAACAGCAAGAGAAGCCGCTCAGCTGTTGCTTGTCTAGGTATAGGTGAAGTTTATTTCCTAGCAGGAGTTGCTGTTCTCTCATAAATACTGAATTTGAGCTTTTTATAAGATGTAATTAAGAGGCCAGTTGCTAGAGGACATCAGTTCAGCAGACTTTAGGCTTTGTTAATTTCAGCACTTCTAGAAATGCTTGCTTGTGTCTTCGTTTTGTTTCCTCTGTTGAGACCTAGTACAAAAATACTTGTTTCGAGCTGCTGGCTGTGCTACTTCTTGCTTTCCCCAGAAGGGGACACTGCAGAGATAAGGAAGTCCTAAGAGCAGCATCTGGGGGAAATGACAAAATTCATCTGTGCTGCAGGAGGATTGAAGGGGTAGTCTCTTCTATGTGTGGGAACACAGTTTGAATCTCAGCCTCCACGGCACAGTGCACAACATTGTTATTAAACCCTACAACAAGCCCAGAAAGCCTTGGTGCTAGCAATTACTTTGAGTTTCTGTTAATTTAAGCTCTTTAAGGGGCTTTTTTTGCATTACTGAGTAAACCAGTCGAACACAGTGTTAATGTTGCCTTCAAAAGCTATCATCTAATATTCTTTTCCTGAATGGCTTGTGCATCCTGAGTGAGTTATGGAAAATGTGGATCTCAGCCTCCAGGAAATTCTGACCTTTCCATTGTTTTATAGATGGTAATTAATGAGCAGAACCTCTCTCTTCAAATTTCAGAAACCAGTATCTTTCTGATAATCAAATTGAGATCCAGGGTGAATCTACCTCCCTTTTACTAAATCATTGCTTAATAAGGAACTGTAATCTGCTGCCTTTCAGCCATGTGTCCTGCTCTGACGGAAGGCATTTGGCACCTCTCTGAATAATCTCTAAATGCAGCTGTGTGGGCCTTGTGCCTCCTTTCCCGACCTCCTGGAGGGCGTACCGCAGTTGTGATGAAAGCATTGCATGTGCAAAGTGCTGCTCTTGGTTAGAGTGGCACTCTTCTCTCCACTGTTTCTTAGGGAACAAATCAATAGTTTTCTGTAACTGTCTCTAATGCAGAGAAGTAAACAGTTGCCTCTGGTTCTCCTTGCTGCTTCTTGTCCAGATCTTGAAAAACAGCTAATTACAAGCAAGTGCTATTTGCATTTTTACTGTTTGAACTCATGCTGTGAGCTGTACGTAGCATTTCATTTTTGAATTAACACCCAGTGGCGTATTAGAGCAGAGTTAATTGTTGTTTAGCTCTGATTTTTTTTATTAGGGCTCTCATGATTTAGTGCTGTCTGCACTGCTGTCGATAAGAGCAGCATACGCATGTGGATACCTGCAATATGGCTGTACAGGGCTTGAGGTTGTAAAGAATCAGTTCAGTTTTCAGACAGAGCTTCCCTCCCAGTGATATTCCTGAGAAAAGCAGAGAGACTTCACTGTAACAGGTAATGAAAAAATGTTTCTGGCTGATAGCTAAATACCCCTAGCTGCTTTTGGTCTTCTGCGTCAATGCCGTTCCCTGCTTGCATTCAAACCCCCAGTGTTTCACTAAAATGAAGGTGTTGCACCTTGTGATAACCATGTACCATTTTCAGTAAGTAACAGAGCAACATTTAGGTGGAGCAAGTTAGAGCAGTTTTCAAGTACAATAACTTGCTGAGTTTGAGTTGATGTGAGTTGCTGATGTGAGATGCAGTTGAGTTGCTGAGTAGTTTGAGTTGATCCCATGGTCTATTAAAGATCCTAAAAGGGAAACGCTCAGAACTCTCCCAGGATGATCCCAGTAGGGACTGCAGGAACTGATGTGAAGTCTTAAAATGGAAAGGCTCTTGCCTCAGCAATGTTGTTACAAAGTATTTTGAAAAGAAATGCTATTAAAGCAATTTTATGTCACAACAGTGAAAGCTACCTGTTCACGATGAATAAGGATTTAATTGGCCCCTTTTAGAAATAAGTTGAGGAATGATGCTTGTGCTTGGCTGGCTGAATGCGAGATGGTGCATGCTTCTGCTCCTTTTTGTGAGCTACCTGAATGAAGACAGGCGTAGGTCTAAGAGATCTCTCTTTGTCCCTCCCCAGCATGTTATAGGTTGTAGACAGACATGGTAATGACACAGAGGAAGCTTTTGGGTTGAGTACTTGTATTGTAACGTGCTGAATTGCACCTGGGGTGAGAGAAAGTTATTATTGCCATTCAGGTTTTGCAGCTGGAAGTGACAAAGGAAGAGCAGCCTCATAACTCTCCTGTAAAGAACCCAGCTGTGGTCTTAGGACCCTCTCAAAACTATTTCACAGAGAAGAGCATTACAAGTAGAGTATAAAAGGATGTGTTAGTATTCATAGTGTTTAAGGCTGATTTAAGAATGCTCCTTAGCCCTTCCTCACAGTCAGAGGCAAGTTGATGCCTCCTAGATGACACCCCACTATTGGATAATTGCAGGGCTTTGTGCTGGTACTGAAGCAGGGTGCGGAACATTATGTGTTCAGTCTCTCAGCTGTAGTGGTAACTTGGATCATAGAGTTAAGTTGGAAAGGACCCTTAAAGGCCATCTGGTCCAACTCCCCTGCAGTGAACAGGGACACAAGACAGCTTGGTTGGGGTGTTCGGAACTCCATCCAGCCTGACCTTGCGAGTCTTCAGGGACAGGGCATCCACCACTCTAGGCAACCTGTTTCAGTGCTTCATTACCTTTAGTGTTAAAAAGCCTTCTTCCTTACATCGACACTAGATGAAAGTTTGAATCCATTTCTGCTTGTCCTGTCACAACAGACCCTGCTAAAGAGTCTGTTCCCTTCTTTCTTACAGCTCCTCTTTAGATACTCCATGTCTCCCTGGAGCCTTCTATTCTCTAGGCTGAACAGCTGTTTCAGCCTGTCCTCACAGAGGAGGTGTTCCATCACATTAGTGGTCCTCCTCTACACACTCCAGCAGGTTCATGTCTCTCCTGCAGTAAGGACTTCACATCTGGATGCAGTACTCCAGGTGAGGTCTCACCAGCGCAGAGCAGAGGGGCAGGAACTCCCTTGCCCTGCTGGCCACTCTTCTTTTGATGTGGCCCAGGATACAGTTGGCTTTCTGGGCTGTGAGGGCACATTGCTGGCTCATGTCCAAGTGCCATACACCAGTACCCTCTCTTTTCTGCAGGGCTCTGTTACATCCTTATATCCTCCAGCTTGTATTGATACTGGGCCATGACCCAGGTGCAGTCCTTGCACTTGGTTTTGTTGAACCTCGGGATGTTTCCCTGAGCTCACTGCTCAGCCTGTCTAGGTCTTTCTGAATGGCATCTGGTGTGCTGGCTGCCCTCCAGAGCTCAGTGTCATCCACAAACTTGCTGAGGGTGCACTTGATCCCATTGTTGACGAAGGTGTTTAAAAAAAAAAAAAAAAAATGCTGGTCCCAGAACTGACCAGAAGGGCACCACTCATCACCAATCTCCATCTGGACATGGAGCCATTGATTGCCATTCTCTGGATAGTCTCACAACCAATTCCTCTTCTACTGAACAGTCCACCCATCAAATCCATATTTTTCTGATTCTGATAAAGAATGGCGTTCAGTGGGAATGTCAAAGGATATATCTGTGGAAAAGCTTAATAAGAGACCTTCATCTAAAACTTATATGCAAGCAGGGCTTTAGGTATGTCTGCTCCAACTGGTCCAGTCAGTAAAAAGGTGGTGGTGGAAAGTAGGTGGTGATCAGTGGGCTTGATCATCATTAGCACATCTAGCTGCAGATCATCAGGGCAAGCCACAACCCAGCTTAGCTGAATTTTATGTTAATTCTGTTGGTTTCTTTGTGATCTGTTGTTTTGATCTATTTCAAATAACATTCTGAAGTGGTAAGTGGGGGGAAAAAAAATCCATTTTCCCCATGTTGTGATAGGAAGGGTGCAAAACAAACCAACCACTGAGGTGTTTATTCCATTTATTTAAAGTTTACAGCATTTCATGGTAGACCTAAATGACATTGGGTCCTGGGAGCAGTGACTGTGTTAGGCAGAGCTTTTGCGAACTGAGCTCAGAAATGAAGCCAAATGTTTGTGTTTTTTGCATCTTTTGGAGAGATCTGTTTGTTACACATGGATCTTCTTTATCAACCTTATCGTTCACAGGATTGTTGCCAAAACATCTCTGACTTCACCCCCATGGCCTGAAGTGAAATTGCCAAATCCAGTGGAAGAAGCAAAGCACCATGCAGGTAAGGGTCTCAAGTCTCCAAGTGAAGCTTCACACTCTAGTGTTGACACTGGTGACTTGACTGAGTTTATATCAGTGTCTTCAGTGATTCAGGCTTTTTGTTCTTTCCTTTTAGTGTCACTGGACTCATGCTCTGACTGCCTGTATTAGAGATTTGGGTAGATTATGAAGTCCTTTAGTTTGTGACAGCCTGACAGGTCATACTGCTCTCCAAGGGCTCTTATTTGATGGGATGTGTTGCTACCTAAAGCATAAAGTGTGGCTTTTCAACTGGAGGGAACAGCTGTCTTTTCTTCTAGTGGATACAACAAAATGCGGAAGCCAGCATAAGCAATTGGATAGTGGGCACATCAGAGAGCTGATATTTCTTAGTGAATAATACAGAATGCTGGAGCCATTATATGCAGTTGGACAGTGTGCACATGACAGAGATGTGGCATTAGGCAGCAAGCAGGTGGGAAGCAAAACAGCGTTAGAGAATGCATGCTTGTCCACACATTTTGTCAGGATCACTGAACGCAGGCACTAGTCCTCTTGGTAGAAGCCTGTGGATCAGACAGGAGTTAACCTCACAAGTCAGCATATGAATGTAGCTGTTGAACAACCAGACACTGGTTCCCCCTGGCTGGTAGAGATATGGAAATACAGAGAAGGCAATATGTATGTAGCCTTATCTTGTCTGGGAGGGGCAGTTGTCATCCATGCCCTGCTACAGATGGTAGAAGAAAAGCCAGCACAGGTACAGAACGTTTCTCAGAACAGTAGCAAGCCCTAGCGGGTGAATTTCTCTTACAGCTCCTGTGGTGGTGGGCAATTAGCAGTCATCTGCTACGTGAAAGAAAGGAGCTTTTTATTAACAGGCTGTCTTACTGTCTTGTTGCATTAGCTTCTAGGACATCAGTGAAAGGCACCTGAAAGGACATTCTGAAGGCTATAGTTTGGAGAGGCCTGAGAAGTGAAGGAGAGAGATCTACAAGGAAACAGTGGAAGGAGAGAAGCAAAGCTTTGCCATTGTTTTAACAGATAGTTTCCCATAGCATAGCAAAAATGTGGTAATAACTGTGAGAGTGATATGCCTTGGAGAGAGCTGCTTCTTCCAGGTCTTCTCTCTGACTTTGTTTTTATCCTGCTTTTCATTTTCTCTGCATGTCTGGAATTGCTCAAGTGACAGATAAGTGTTCTGTCCCAGAGAATGATTTGACCCAGCAGTGAACCATAAACTGCTTTATTTGATTTGCTGACGCCCTGGGGTGAATAAGGTCCCATGTTCTTCTGACTGCTTCACATGGGATCGTTGGGGTTGTTGTGATTTCCGTGCCTTGTAACCTCCTACTGTTTATGAGCTTGCATTGCTATCTCCTGGCTGTGCTTATCCAAAGCAAACAGCAACTAGAGCATTTGAATTCTGCCTGATATTCTCCCACTGTCTGTGGAAACAGACGTGGATATTTTAGGACCACCATTCCACATGATGCTGAGATTCAAGCTGTCCTAACAGTCAGATGGTAGTATCCATTGATGTGTCCTGTCATTAGAAATGTTTGGAAGAGCAAGCAATAACTTCAGAGTCCATGTATGTTAAAGAACACTTATCCTTTTCTGATATAAAAAGATGAAGAAGTTGTGTGGTAGAAAGTTGAAATTTGGTGAGGGAGTAAACCTTGTTAGAAGTTTGCTGTTTGTTTTTTTTTTGCCAAGGTCAGTGTTTTGAAATGCTGGTTTTGAGATGTTGACCACAGTACTACTGAAATACATGTATCATCAGTTTAGATCTGAAATAAATTTGTTGTATCCTGTTGTGCATTGGGTTTGTAACAAAGACAAAGGTATCATACTTCTCTGTGGGCTTCTGGGAGTGGAGCACTCTGAATCAGAGAATACGCAGGGGACTTTTCTCCTGGGATGGCAGTTCCAGCAACACAGAAGCACAGCCCTTAGTTTTAGTGAGAATTGTACTAACTACTGTCTTGTGAAACAATTTCTCTTCTAACCTCTACCTGTAATAGTTTGCTGGTTTGAAACTTGGACACTTTCACAGTGTTCCTGTAAGTGTTGGATTTAGTTTAGTTGTAAGTGCTTGTCTATCCCAAATGGTTATTATAGTTTGTTTACATTCCAAGAAAACAGCAGGGATTCAGCCACTTGTGAGGACAATGAAGAAAGTCAATTTTTCCAGTTATAGCAAAGTTACTCTTTTTCTGATCAGCCTGAGATGGTGGAAAGCTGCTATTTGGCAGGGGAATAGCACTCATTAAAAAGGAACTTTTGATGTTCTTGTAAAACTTGATTTTTGGCTTCACTGCACAGGAAGTTGATCACAGAAATCTGAGTTATGTGCATGTGCTATGGAGGACCTTGTCCCTGGAATTTATACTGCTCCTGGCACCTTGCTCTAGTTGCATGTGCGTATAGGAAGAGCTTTTCTGGAAGTCTTTCCAGCTTTTGCTGCAGGTTCTTAGGCCAGGTTTTGTTAGCGTGCTGGAGTCCTTCTTCCTGTGTGCTTTGCAGAACTGCTCTTGATGTTCCTGGTTGCTTTACCAAGTATTTAGTGTCCTGGCCTTTTCATGCATTACTTGGAAATTGAGGAGAGCTCCATTCCAGATGTGTAGACAAGCACTCTCTTCTCAAATGCATTGTATTTGAGTACAGTGCATTTCAGGATGCCTAAGAAAGAGGCTGAGAAATGAACTGCTTGGAATTAGTTGCATGATATATTTATAGGTGTCTGCTTGCATGCTTACTAAGAGTAAGTTCTTACAGCAACCAGAAGGCAGAAAGGTTTGCAAAAGGGTGACTCATGCTCTGTAGGAAACAGCATTGCTCTTATCATAAATTATTAAGGTTGGAAAAGACCTTCAAGATCATCTAGTCCAACTGCACACTGACTACCAATATTGCCCCTTAAATCATGTCCCTAAGTACACATCTACACCCTTCTTGAACTTCTTTGAGATTCCCAAAAGGTAACAGTGTAGGTGGAAGAGCAGTGTGGCTGAGTTAATTCTGATCGACTCTTTACACTTTGTTGGGTTTTCTGCTCTGATTTCTTCTCTGCTCTTTGCCAACAGAAGTGGTGCAAAAGGTGAATGAGCTGATTGCAACAGGGCAGTACGGGAGGCTCTTTGCTGTGGTTCACTTTGCCAGCAAACAGTACAAAATAACCAGTGAAGACTTAATTATGATGGACAATGTGCTACAGGCTGAATGTGGAGACCGAATCCGGATGGAAAAGGTAACGTGCCTTGTCCACAGTGCCTGTGACCTCCGGGCTGTTTCTGCTGCGAACGTTTCCTGAGGCAAAATTCATAACCAGTTTTTCAAAAGTCTTGAAGAGCTCCTGTGGGATCTCCCATCTTTATTTTCAGCTTTTTTTTCTCGTCTTAGTTTTATTGCAATCTGAGGTGTGTTGTTAGTGATAATGTTAATGTGGTTTCTGTTGAATGCGGTTGGAATGAGTTGTGACAGACTCTGTTAGAAGACAGATTTCTGTTGTACTAACTTCATACAAAAAAAGAAAATTACAATTGTTGTTTTTAGAGATGACAGTGAAAGAAAGACTGTTTACCTTGAGACTACTACACCCAAAACACTGACAGTACTCCCAGAGGAGCTGTCACTGCTCAGAGCTTTCCAAGATCGTTATCATGCTGAGCGTGTTGGGTGGAGGGAGAGGGATGCTGCATGTAGGGGAGAATTGCCAAGATGCAACTCAACATATTTATCCCTAGTCTCGGTTAACTAGCAGGAACTTGTAGAGGCTCATTAATTAAAATTAATTAATTAAAATTAATTAAATTAATTAATTAAATTAAAATTAATTAATTAAAACTTTAAATGAAAGTTTAAATGAAACTTTAAATGGAAGACTCTGAAGTAGGATTTTGTTGGATTAAAATTGAGTTGTTAGAGCCAAGCAAGCAGTTAAGGAGAGAAGGGCAATTCAATTTCAGGACTTTCAGGACAATTAGCTCTGAAAGTCCTGCTTAAAGGTGACTGTACTTAGCTATGTTTTCATCTATGTCCTGCGTCTTCACATACAGCGGAGAAGTGACTTGCACAGAGCAGCCAAGCAGGAGAACAGAGGTCTTTGAGAAAATGAAGGTTAAGAACTTGCCTAACCACCATAACCCAACACCATCATACTCCTGTAGGAATTTCACTGAAAAATATCTTTTTAAAGGAAAAAGTAGAACACCTAACATCCATTTCTATGTTGCTTTTAAACTTCTACCGTACAGTTAGCATGGAAGGAGGCAATCTGTATGAAATGCTGTCTCTTCTCATGAGAACTTCTCTTATTATTTCTCCTTCTTCTTGGATGAGTGTGTGATTGAAATGCCCTGAAATGAAAGGGTTTGTCTCTGTGGTGGTGAACCAACCTCAGCTATTCATTTTTTACTGTCCATCTTGAGGCCTCAGGGAGGACAATGATTAAAGTGTTTCTGTAGAGGGTATGTTGCAATTGCTATAAAACCCAATGATTTTAGGAGCTGCCTCTCATTCAGCACCCATGCAAAACTGTATTCTTCCCTGTATTGCTTTTTGTATCTTTTACAGCTGTTGGTGAGCCAGAACAGGAAAGTTCAGTATGTTCTGATCGGTGTGAAAGATACTTCTAAAGTATATTTTAAAATGAAGTTCTGGAAGTCTGTCTGTTTTATGAATCTGTTTCTTGCCTGTGAGCTGCCATTCTCCACTGGTACTCTCTAGTAATTATGCCAGGTCTGAAACATGTAAAGACCCATTTTTAAGCAGTTTGGCTCCTGTATGGTGGCTACAGAATTTGGAAAATATTGCTGGTATCACAGAATTGCAGAACAAGCAGGGTTGGAAAGGACCTCAAGGATCATGAATCCCCAACCCCCCTGCCACATGCAGGGCCACCAACCTCCCCGTTCAGTGCTAGACCAGGCTGCCCATGGCCCCATCCAATCTGGCCTTGAACACCTCCAGGGACGGGGCATCCACAACCTCTCTGGGTAGCTGTTCCAGCACCTCACCACTCTCTCTGTAAAGAACTTCCTGCTGATGTCCAACCTAAATCTTCCCTTCCTCAACTTAAAACCATTTCTCCTCATCCTACAGTTATCAACCCTTTCAAAGAGTTGATTCCCCTTCTGTTTGTAGGCTCCCTTTAGGTATTGAAAGGCTACAATGAGGTCACCCCGCAGCCTTCTTTTCTCCAGGCTGAACAAGCCCAGCTCCCTCAGCCTGTCCTCATAGGGGAGGTGCTCCAGTCCCCTTATCATCTTTGTGGCTCTCCTCTGGACCCTCTCCAACAGCTCCCTGTCTTGTACTGGGGGCTCCACACTTGGACGCAGTACTGCAGATGGGGCCTCACAAGAGCAGAGTAGAGGGGGACAATCACCTCCCTGTCCCTGCTGGCCACCCCCTTCCGATGGAGCCCAGGATACCATTTGCCTTCCAAGCCACAAGAGCACACTTGTTGGCTCATGTTAAGTTTTTCATCCATCAGGACCCCCAGGTCCTTCTCTTCAGGGCTGCTCTCAAGGACTGCTTCTTCCAGTCTGTATGGACGCCTGGAATTCCTCTGGCCCACTTGCAAAACTCTGCACTCTGCTGTGTTGAGCCTCATCAGGTTCACCCAGGCCCACCCTTCTAGCCTCTTGAGGTCCCACTGAATCGCATTCCTTCCCTCAACCGTGTTGACCGCACCATTCAGCTTGGTGTTGTCAGCAAGCTTGCTGAGGGTGCACTCGATTCTGTCATCGATGCCACTGATAAAGATGTTACAGAGCACCGGTCCCAAGACAGACCTCTGGGGGACGCCACTCATTACAGGCCTCCATCTGGACACAGAGCCATTGATGACCACCCTCTGTCTGTGGCCTTTCAACCAATTTCTTATCCATGGAGTGGTCCACCCATCAAATCTACATCCCTCCAATTTGGAGATAAGGATGTGGTGGGGGACCATGTCAAGGGCCTTGCTCGAGTCCAGGTAAATGACATTGCTTGCCTTTCCCTTGTCCACCAATGTGGTCACTCCATCATAGAAGGCCACCAGATTGGTCAGGCATGACCTTCCCCTGGTGAAGCTGTGCTGGCTGTCTTGGATCACACGCTCATTTCTCATGTGATCAAGCATGTCATCTAGGATGATCTGTGCCATGATCCTCCCAGGCACAGAGGTGAGACTCATTGGCCTGTAGTTCCCCAGGTCCTCCTTGCTCCCCTTCTTGTCAATGGCGGTGACGTGACCCTTCCTCCAGTCATCCGGGACCTCACCTGACAGCCACGACTTTTCAAATATGTTGGAGAGCAGCTCGGCAACCACCTCAGCCAGCTCCTTCAGAGCCCTGCGATGCACGCCATCCAGCCCCATAGACTTGTACACATTCAGTCTCATGAGGCGGTCTCGGACCTGCTCTGTGCTCACAGCAGGGAGGGATTTACAACCCCAGTCTCCACCTAGAGGTTTAGGGGTGCAGGGCTCAGGGACATGAGAAGTACGGGAATCCTGGCTGCCAGTGGAGACTGAGGCAAAGAATTCATTCAGTACCTCAGCTTTCTCTTCATCCACTGAAGCTGGTTCTCCTTTTACATTTACCAAAGAAGGTACATTTGCTTTGGCCCGTCTCTTCTGGCCAATGTACCTGTAGAAAGTCTTCCTATTGTTTTTCATGTGCCATGTTAACTTCAGTTCCACCTGTGCCTTGGCTTTCCTGATCCCACATCTGCAAGTCTGGATGGCATCCCTGTATTCTTCCCAGGTGACACAGCCTTGTTTCCAGAGCTTGTGTGCAGCTTTCTTCGTGTTCAGCGTGCCCAGCAGGTCCTTACTGAGCTATGCCGGCTTCCTACCTCCTCTGCCTGCTTTCTTATTCAGAGGGACGGAGAGTTCTTGTGCTCTCATGAAGGCATTCTTGAAGAACAGCCAGCTCTCCTCAACATCTTTGTTTTTAAAGACAGCATCCCAGGGGATCTCAGCCAACAGTCCATTGAACAGCTTGAAGTTCGCTCTTCCAAAGTTCAGGGTCCTGATGCCACTCTTTGCCACTCACATCCCTAGAGATCACAAACTTGACCAGGGTGTGGTCACTGCAGCCCAGGCTGCCTCCAGCCTTAACACCATTAATGATTTCCTCCACGTTGGTGAGCAGCAGGTCCAGCAATGCTTCACCTCTGGTCGCTCTGTCCAACACCTGGACCAGAAAGTTATCATCAACACATTCCAGGAGCCTCCTCCTCTTGCAACTCGCCATGTGGTCTTTCCAAGAGATATCTGGATGGTTGAAGTCCCCCATCAGGACAAAAGCCCGTGAGCACAAAGCCTCCCTTATCTGAAGCAAGAAAGCCTCGTCAACAATCTCTCCTTGATCAGGTGACCTGTAGCATACTATCACCAGCTGGCCTTTGTTAGACCCATCCTTAATTCTAACGCTCAAGCTCTCAACCTGTTCCTGACAATTTCCCAGAGGGAGCTCCTCACAGCCTATCTGCTCTTTGACATAGAGGGCAACTCCCCCACCCTTCCTACCTAGCCTATCTCTTCTAAGGAGCTGATAGCCCTCAATGGTGGTGTTCCAGTTATGGGAAACATCCCACCACATTTCTGTGATATAGTATGATGAACCGCTGATATGTCTGATTATTTTCCGTAGGTTTTGCTGGTTGGTGCTGATGATTTCACGCTTATTGGAAGACCACTCCTGGGGTAAGAGATCTCATTCAAGAATTATCCCGCAACCTGAAGAGAAACCTGAATTTATCAGTGCTATCTCTTTTCCCAGCCCTATGGATTCTGAAAAAAAATCAGAAATAAAACAAACTGGTCAGCTTTGGCTGGCTCTTAACTATTACTGTAGTGCCAGGATAGAGCACAGTACCTATTCCTAAGGTAACTGTAGGATATTAACCCCTATTGGCTTGGCTCTGTTTTCTGATGTGTAAGTCTTGTACAAACTAGCAGTAAATCTTGCTCTTTACTCCCTAACCATAATTGCAGTGATAGCCATCCTAAAATAACCCAGAAATCCATGCTTGTCCCTTAGTGCCTTAATTAAGGTTGTTTTTTGTTTTGTTTTGTTTGTTTGTTTGTTTTTTAAAAAAAAACTATTTCCTTTTACCCATGATTTAATCCAGCAGGTCTTAATCTTAAATGAAGAGTTCCAAGTTTTCCCTTCTTCCTAGTTACATGCCTCCAACAATCATGGCACCAGCTCTATCTTAGAGCTGTCAGACTTGCTATACAAATGGGCAGAACACCTGGTTTGTCAGCATTTTCTTTACCAGACGGAAGTGGTGTGTGGACTCAGTGTTGCTGGTTGAACTCTTAGCATTGGCTGGAAGCAAAGTCATCAGCTCTATGTAGCTTTCCCCAGAGGTTCTAGTGGTAAAGTGCTAGTCAAAATAATGTGGCTTGCAAGTGCTTTAAGAATCTGGAAGTCCTGGCTGTGGTCTGGCTGCAGACTGAACTGCATGTTAAGTGTTAGCTTGAACTGCAGCAATTTGGCAGAGGACAGCCAGATAAGGAGGAGCTTGTAGATCTTGATGCCTTGCAGATTCAAATCTGTTTGACTTCTGAGTCCTTTTTACATTACCAGGAGGATGTCTGTATTCCAGAGTTATAAATAATGTTTGCACAATTGATAACATGATTTCTGCCATGGGTTTCTAGTGTTTGATAGGATTATGAGGGCTGACAGCCTTTATAGCACTTCTGTGAAGAGATTTGGAATGATAGATCTTCAGGAGCCTTTGAATTTTTGCCAGATATTGTTTTACTTGTTGAAGATCTTTAGGAAGTGGAAATACCTTTACTAGTACCAGAAACGTAATCTTGCAGAATAATAGGATCATAGAATATGTAAAGAAGGGACCCATAAGGATCACTGAATCCAGCTGCTGGACACATTCTGCAAATGGGGATGTGTCATGCCAGACAGGTTGCTAGCACTGTCCTTCACCTGGCTTTCCTAACTAGTGACACCGGAGTGCTGTACTTGGCATGTGCCCTAAGAGCTCTAGAACACAAAGAAAAGCACCTGTTTGATTCCTGCATGTGCTCTAAGTCTGCAGAAGGCACCGTCAGTTGCTTGAAGCAGACCAAATTGCACACTGAACTCTAGTAATTTTGGTGGAGGAGGAGGCAGAGTGGAGGGCCAGTGAAGAGATGCCATCCTCTGAGATGTGGGGAACCTTTCCAGTTTTTCCAGCTCTCGGTACTCCACGTCACAGCAATTCTTTCTCATAGTTGTGTCTAAACCACAAACGTTTTGGAGGGGAGATAAGAGCTTGGATGCAAACTAAGGCATTTTTGTTTTTCTGTTGTTTTAAAAAATAAACACACCAGTGAGTACTTGCCTGTTCAGACTTGGAGGCAGGTAGGAACTTGTCCTGTTTTGGGCAGGTAGTCAGGTTTTTATTTTCTGTAGCAGATACCCCCCCAAGATGACACTTCTCTAAAGCCTTAAAAAACAAACAAACAAAAACCAGCAGTGCAACAAAACATATCTGTGTGGCAGAGACTGTTTTGAGAACTTGGAGCTGGCTTCTCTGGAATCTGTTGGGTTTTGTTTTTGTTTGAGTGACTTGCTGTCTGTTTGATGGGCACAAAGGGTATCAAGTGGTATGCAGTTGTAGTTTGTTGAGCTGTATAATGTAAAAAATATTGTGTATTTTGAAAGCTGTGATTAGAAGCAAGCATAGCTTTGCATGAGTTTCATCTCATGATTTGATGCTCCTGAGACAAGAAGTTGTTTGTTTCTATACAGAGTACAGCTGATGAGAGGTTTTTGCCCTTTAAATTAACCTTATTTTTCTCCTACCACCTGACCGTTTTTGCAATGGCTTTAGTAGCAATGAAGAATTGTCTGAAATTCCTCCTAGACGAGGATGCTGAATGCACTTATTCTGTGCAGGGAGAGAGTTTGGCTGAAGTTGTTACTCTGACAATTATGCTCCTTTGGGGCTATAGGTTGCCTGGATCACTTGCACTGCTCACTGACAAAAGCTTTCAATCCAGCTTAAATCCATGAGGTTTCAGCCTAATTTTTTCTTATTTCCAGATAAAATCTGATTGATAGATATGCTTTTGCATCTTCACTTTGTTTTTCTTTCTGAGAGCAACAGTCCTGGCTGTCCCAAACTCTGGGAAATGTGTGACTCCCCCTTTCTTATTTTTATAGGCATTCCAGTCATACCTAAGACATTCAATAAAGATTTCTTTTTCCTTGGGCTCTATTTTGCTGAGAACTTTTCTGCTTATATGCACTTTACCAGCAAGTTGGTTTCTACCCTCCTCCAGCTTTCCAACAAGCAGCTCCTAGGGATTTGTACAATAGAGAGGAGGACTCACTGGGACCTGCTGGCTTTGAGCTTTGACCTGCACCTCACCCATTTCTCAGTAACACCCTTAGTTTGCTTGAAAGCTTTTCAACATCTATAAGCAGTGCACGGGGGGATAACTATTTACAGATATGCCAGTGTTGGCTGAATGCTACCCAAGGTTTAGGCCAGTGGATGCGTCTGGCGATGAGAGCTGTATCAGGGATGGCTTGGCTGTATTGCTGCAAACTCTGCCTATTCTAAGAGCAGCTCAGAGATTTCAGTGACTGAGTTGTTTTATCTGGCCTGGCTGCTTTCCAGTTTCCCCATGTGATCATCATTAGTGAGTTTCTGACATGCCTTTACTGTCCAAGCCTATGAGAAGTCAGTGGGAGTTTAGATTTCCTTTTGCCTTCAGTGAACAGAAATTAGACCTGGAAAGCAAAGCTCCCTAATTGTAGTGGCAAAACATATCCAGCTCATGGAGTGCGGTTCAGTTTTTTTGTTTGTTTCGTAGTATCATAGTTCTTGCTGTGTATTTCAGTAGTGTTGTTGATCCTATTGTTGGGCTGAATCTGGATAACATCTTTTAGCTGGGATGGCAGGGTCACCTGGTGGTCTTTTAAAATCAAGGTTATTTTATGTCTATTTTCTGGGCTAGTCAGTAAAGGTAGATGTATCAGTTTTTTCTTCTGAGTGTCTTTCTCTCCTCACTTAAGGATTCAGTCATTCACTGATAGGTATTATACCCCAGAGGGTAAATGTTAATATGGATGCCAAATGTCTCAGAACCTTTGGCCTCTCAGTGACCTTGCTGGAACAGCTGGATAGATGGGCTTCTCTCCTCTGCCCCCCATAAGCACAAAGTCGTTTGTCAAGAAAACGCTCTTTAAATGTCTTCTGGCAGAAAAGTTAGTGTGCTAATTGGTTTTTAATGGTACTCTGCAGTGATGCTGTATGAAGGTGTCTTTTCTGTCTTGATAGTGGCTGTTGATTAAAAGTGCACTTTCCAAAGCTCTTGTCTGAATGTGTTTATCTTCTCAGAGAGGAGCCAGTGAACAGACAGGTAGCTGGTCCTGCAGCACATGCTTCGCATCACTCTGTTTTCTAGGTTTTTTTCAAGTGGCAGCCAGAATTCCCAGTGCTCTCATTTTCAAACTTCAGCAGGACTTCTGCTGGTGCTCTGCAGCTTTCCTGGGTGGGTAGGAGGTGTTTATTCATGTGTATTTATAGAGTAATACAGAGCAGTGGATTACTTTGTGGCTTTTGAAGGCTTTGTGAAGGAAATATGGCCATGTTCTTCTCTTCATTTCATCCCTGGGGAAGGAGGATGTTTAGTCATGGAGAATTTCCTTCCATGTGCAGAAGTGAGTTTTAGAAACAATTTGAAACTTTGAGTGATGTCACCACCCAACCTGAGCTCCCCTGTTTGCGAGGTAAGCTGTGTGTGAAATCAGTGTGTGTGTGTGCCCTCTCTTCCAATTTGGGGTAAGCAAGTGGGACAGACCAAGAGGGGGAGGGAGAAGAGAGCTGTGGGGGAGAAGTGACTTGTTCTAGTAGCTGATTACCTGTGCTTCCTGCTAGAAACAGTGGCCAAATCACTTTCAGCTGAATTTCTGTCGAACTTACTCAAGTAAGAAAGGTTGGGAGACTTTATTCCAATTGTCTGGGGTGCTTTACAGAAGAAGGAAGGTCTTCTGTGTTGACTAGCAGAGCACAGGAGGAGGGTCTGTGGTGGGTTTGATCTGTATCATAAGAAAGGTAGAAAGACCTTGTGAACATGGCGGAAGAATTTATCTGATCTGTAATCCTGCAAGTTCCTCCAGGCTTCTCTTATTATGCCTTCCTCAGCTGTTTCTGATCTCATCCTTCATGTGGCAGAGAAGTACTGCCCTTCAGACTAGCACTTACTTGTCTGTTCCACGGAGAGCACCTTGAGGCTTTTGGTTTTGCACCACAAAGCCACCTTACTGACAGATGTCCCTTCTTCTTCCCTGGTGACCTTAAAGTTCTCGTGGATCTGGGCTTTTTATAGCAGGATGTGTGTTACCTTTGTGTCGCTTCTCCCTCTGAACCTATTCATCAACAGGCAGAGAATGTAAATAATTAACAAGTGGTACTTTTTTTTTTTTCCCTGTATTTTTAAGGAGGGATCTTGTCCGTGTGGAGGCTACTGTAATTGAAAAGACGGTGTCGTGGCAAAAAATCAACATGCGCTTTCGGAAGAAGCGCAATTACCAAAGGAAAAAAAGTAAGATATAAGGAACACAGAATACTTCCCTCCTGTTCTGTGGCTGGGATATGGATATGCCTGAAGAGAGATGTATCACAACATCAGTGCCTGGGAAGGGGAGATGTACTTGCCGTACCCACAGCACTCTTCTTTCCCAACTTGCTGCCCCAGATGTGTACACTGTATTCAGAGCAACAGAATCATGTGACTTTATTCCCTCTGTCCAGCACCTCTTGTTGGATAGCTTTGTAAAAGAAAACAAAACAAAAAAACCTCAAAACCTTTATGGAAAAGAAAACATTCCAGGGAAGAAAAACAATTTTGGTCTCCTTCCAAAGCCTTAAGTACTGTCTACGTAATCACAGATACTGACATGCTCTAACAGTATCTTGTGGCAGTCCTTTTGACTCCTCCTTCTCAGATATGGCTGAGAGGGTGGAAAATGATGGCTGTTCTTTGCAGAACGGATGCTAAAACCTTAATCAGTATGACACTGTCCCATAGGAGCTCTGCCTAGACCTATTGCTCATCCAGTACCAGTGTCATGTAGCTGTCCTGCAACGTGGCTGCATCTGTCAGCACATACCCTCCTAGATACTGTTATGCCTTGGCTTGCCTAAATGCCTTCTGACTGGTATGCATCATCTGATCTTTTTTTTTTTTTTTTTTTTCCTCTTTTCATTCTTTTTCAGTTATCACGAATCCACAGACCGTCCTCCGGATAAATACCATAGAAATTTTCCCCTGTTTGTCGTGATTGATGGGATGTCGTGCAGCTTAGGCTTATTATTGCTTAAAGCAATTACGGAAATAAAACTGCCTAGGCGTCATAAAGTTCTGGACTTCTTGCAATTGTCTGAAGTGGAAATCTATATGTAATTTATTTTTAAAAAGCAAAATGATTTTTTTTTTTTGTTAACTGTTATTTCAAATTGTTATTTGAGCATTGATGGTGTTTACTTGATCAGTGCACTAAACAACCCCAGCTGTGTTGCTAGCTGACAAGCTGTTTCATGCCAACAACATTTACCTTTGGCTGCACACTTCTCTGAGTGCTTTTGTTTATCTGTGTCTCAGCTGATTTAAAAATAACTGGGACTTCACTGGTTGTAGAAGAGGGCCATCAACTCCCCAGTCCCACAGATGGGTCTCTGAGCCTGGAGGGCAGGACATAAGTATACAGTTGGTCGATTTAAAGAGCCCACCACTTGCCTTAGTTACTCATGTCCTTGCAAGTTTCCCTACCCTGGAACTGTGGGTGCACTTAAGGCTAGCAGAGAGGCATGCATGTTTTGGTGAGTTTATTTCTCCTTTGGAAACACTCAGCGCTCTTCAGAGATTGCAGATAGGCAAGGTATTTTTAAGAGTGTTAAGTGCTATTTATTTGTTTATTTTTGTTCCTCTCCTTACCAAGCTCTTGTTGATCTGTTAATACAGTCTTGGCATTGTGTGGCTTCTGGGAATATTCTGTGGTGCTTTGTGACCCACAGCAAACATGGTGCTGAAGAGTTGCGGGGTAAGAGGATACTGCAGGATCCCAAATCTACTCCTAGATTGTATTAAGATGTGAAAATCCTTCTTAAACATTAACAACAGAAGATGCAGCTGGGAAATTTTCCTCTTAAAGGTGAGCCAAACTATTGCATAGAAGTAAATTCTGTGTGTATCTTACCATTGAAATAACAGATACCAGTGGCTTAGGAGAGATTTCATACCTATTCCATAAGCAATTTTTTTGATCTCTGGTCTTGGTATTTTTCTCTTTTCACATTCTGCAAATCAGGCAGATCACTGAGATCACTGAGCAGCATGTGCAAGGCCATATTCAGCAAAGGTGCATTCAGCAAAGGATTGCATTTGTTTCTGGACAGTGATGACAACTAGGAAGAGTTTCCTGCAGCTTTCAGTAGGCTCTTGGGGTAGCTGTCAGATTCCCTACAGCTAACTTGAGAAATGACAAGTGAGCTCTGTTCACCTTGCACTTTTGTAGGGAATTCCTTGCTTCTAACAAGTCTTATGTGCCTTTGCTGCAATTCCTTCCTTAAACTAATGTTGCCCCTACTCTGAATGGAGGAAATGCTGGTTATGAACATAAGTATATCTGGGTCTTGTCCTGTCTTATAAGTCACTGTAAGCATGCAGGAAATAACTTGATGTGCTGTAAGCATCAAGCTTTGTAGTACAGGCTGCTTTCATCTTGCTTTACTTCAGCTTGAGGGTGTGCTTGGGTTAAGCCAGTTCTCTAGTCACCAAAGAGAGGGGGTCATCTCTAGAGGCTGACTTGTCTCTCCTTGCTTTGGATAGTTTGGCATGGACAGCCCCTGGGAGAAGCTGTTCCTTCTCTGATTGTGCAGGTGGGTTGGGTACCTAGATTTTATGCTACTAGAAGAACACAGAGGCAGGGACCTTTCTACAGAAGAGGTTCAGTTTGGCTGTTGGAACAGTCACCTCCTGGCAGTGTGCACAGCCCCAGGCTGCTGTAATTCAAGGAGCATCTCAGTCATACAGTCTGATTTTTGGGTGGTCCTGTGCGGAGCTAGGAATTGGACTCAGTGTTCCTTATGTGTTCCTTTCAACTCATGGTATTCCATGATTCTGTTCTACGGTAACCTTCTTTGGTCATTTCATCTTGCTTCTTCTTTTTCAAGCTCCTACAGACGGAAATATGTATGGGGGGATTTCTTTGAAAACCGTCTTCTCCTGGCACTGCTACCTCTTCTGCTTCTCCCAAAGGCGGCTTTAGTTCCTTGCTGGGGCCACAGATCCCTGCAGTAGCAATTAATTGCAATATGTGGTGCCAGCATGCTGGCATGAAAAGTGTACTACCACAGACTATGCAGGGACTGCATTCCAGTTACAGGCTGTTCAGAGTCCGCAGCGGAAGCAGCACTGCCAGCTGAAGCAATTTGACTGGGAACGTCACAATTCCCATGTGTTTCTCAAGGTCTGTGAGTGCTGGGGCTAAGAAACAGCATGGCTTCCAGGGGAAATTTCTAGCTTTCCTGGTTGCAGAGAAACACTTGTAAATCACGAGAGATTTCATGGTTCAGGAAACTGGAAGAAGGAGCTGAGGGTTTATTAAAAAGAAAAATATTTTCAATCCATGTGTCCCCTCCAAAAAAAAAAAGAAAAAAAAACCCAAAACCCTTGGGAAAAGTGATTCTAATCCAGAAAAGACATAAGAAGAAGTTAGTTAGCTTTGTGCTGGGTTCAGTGCCTTTTTCAGCAAATATCAAGAATTCAGTCAGAAACCAGGAAATAAGAGGAAAATATCCAGATTTTATTGAATATGGTGCATTCAGACTGAGACATAACGGGGCTACTCCTGATGTTTTCTTTGGAGGAAGTTAAAGCTCCTTACACATCAAATGGAAGCAGAAATCCTGGTTCTCTGAAGTGAAGCTGCAAGTCTCCTTGATTTCATGTGTTGTGGGTGGCCACTTGAGATTTTCTTTTTTGGCTGCTTCATGTGCTTTGCCACACTCTAATAGTTTGTGCAAGGGCAGGAATTCTTCAACAAAACAGGCAGCACTGATTCATCATGGAAATTTATCTGCTAGGACAAAACATCTTTTTGGATAGCACGTCAGATCAGGGTGGAATTTGAGAGCTGCTTTGCCCAGTCTCCAACAATTAGGCATCTGCGTGGCTTAGATGAGATCCAGACCCAAGTTCCTGCCCATCCAGCCTCTCTAAAGCAAAGCTGCTGAGTTTGCTTCCCTTCAATCTCCCCTTGGTGCTGTTTGACTTTGTGTAAATAAGAATTCACTGCCTACAGTGCAGAGGGCATCTGTCTGCTCTGAATCAGAGCTGAATTCTAGTGCCTGCTCCCTGCACACTGGCCACAAAGCTGCCGGCTGTTCTGCTTTCCCTCTTGTGCTTTCGAAGAATGCTGATAGGACTCTGCTTCATATCCCAGCAAGAAGGACAACAGACTTTGCAATGCTGACATTTTACCACTCTAAGGAAGCCTTGTTTTCTTACCAGTGTGGCCGAGAGGTTTGCTCAAAAAGAGGCATTGGTAAGTGCCATTGCTTCTCTGCCAGCTCTGCTTCAGCCTTGTGCTGCTCTCATATTCTCTTTTTTGGGATATAAATGCCTGGGTGTTATTAGATCCCAGCTGAACTGCACAACCCCCACTGGGCACCCCTTGTTCCCCTGTTATCTTTCCAAAAGAGCTAGGAGAAATGTTCAGCCAAGCACTAATTGAGCCTGAGCTATGGCAGTGGGTGTTATGTGCTGGTGAACAAGGATCAACGAGCTGTGGCCTGGCTGAATGTGAGCCCCAGCCCTTGTTTCATCCCTCACCCTCTTAAGAGCTATGGACTGTGGCACCTTAATTCATTTTTTTTTCCTCCCTTCAGACAGATGCTTTCAAGATTTTGGAACATGTTTCATTAATTTAAATGGCATGTATTCTTCTTTCCTTCCGATGGGATGTGATGGTCACAGCAGCTTGTCTTTGGGCTTCACATCTTGAAGACCTGGTAGCAATCTTTTGATATCTAAAGGGGGGGTGTAAGAAAGAAAGGGGACAGACTCTTAAGCAGCCTGTTGTGAGGGGAAACAAGGGGAAACGGATGTAAGGAAGAAACTTTTTACAGTAAGGGTGGTGAAGCACTGACACAGGTTGCCCAGAGAGGTGATGGATGTCCCATCCCTGGAGACACCCAAGTTCAGGCTGGATCAGGCTCTGAGCACCTGATCAAGATGTAGGTGTCCCTGGTCATTGCAGGGAGCTGAATTAGATGACCTTTAAGGATCCCTTCTGACACGATTCTATGAAGAAATGGATTCTCATTGGGATTGAAGTTGGAAACAGCCCATGCTGGCCATCCTACAGGATGGTGTTCTGCGGCGTCTCAGAGCTCCGTCTGGATGAGCTTTCAATTACCTACATGATGGGATTCCTCTTCCATCCCTTGGCAAGTTGTTCTGTGCTCTAAAATAAGTTTCACAAGCAGAGCCGTTCCACACAGCGTGAAGCCTTCCTGTTGTGAGGATCCATTATGTGTGCAGCATAATGAAGTGCGATGGATGTGGGGAGCAGCAGCAGCAGCCTTTCTTTCTGATGGCCAGCTTCTGCAGAGAAACAGAAGTGCCCTGAACTCTGTCTTTGGGACCCAAGGGACTTAACATCTTAGTTATGATACAGGCCTGCTTAACATTCAGCAGCCTGCACAGGCTGCAGGCATTCATCCTGGCGAAGTGGCAAAGTAGCTTAAGAAGTTCTTAGGATATCTCATTCAGGCCTTCAGGGTGGAAGGGAAATCCTGTTAATATGCCCCTTTGGTGTTTTTTTTTTTTAGTGTTTTCCTTTCTCTTTTATTTCCCCTGTCAGCTCTGCAAAGGCATCTTTGAACTTACATGTGCAGCCAGATTTATTTTCTCAGCATGATCCGGACACATTTTGGCTGCACATTGCAGTATGCCTCAGTGGTTAGAAATCAGCAGCAGACAGAATGTAGCACTGGGAAGCCATGTTGGTTTGATGTCTCTTGCACTAGATGTTTTCTTTCTTCTTTTGTGACAGAAGAAATAGCCCTTTCTATTAAGAAAAGAGATGCTTCACCACCAGGTCCAGGCCAATGCAAAGCCATTATGGAGAAATCAGACAGCAAGCCTGGATATGAGGGAGCACAGGGGCTAGGTGCCTTTCATCTATTTCCTCTCTCCCTATTTATAGAACATGGGTGAAGCAACTGGGATCTGTGTCCTTGTTTTGTAGTGTCTCTGCCTGGCTGATAATACAGAGTTTGCACAGCTGAACCAAAGTCAGGTTTTGATTCTGATCGGAGTTTGCAACACTGTTGAGAAAGGAGTGGGCTTGCCGCTCCCTGAAGTCTGAAAGCACTTTTAATTGCATGCTGTCTTTGCTATAGCAACTAAAAATATGTTTATTGACAGTGTTGCTTTTGTTATATTCTTGGAGAGCATTCCCTGATGGTCCCATCCAGTGTTAACTCTTGGGACACATGCTACTAGCAAGGCTTGCTGCGTGATTGCTGTCTCTGAGGGAATAATGTTTGTACAGTCATTAATGAGGGACAATTACAGGTAAGATGTGAGCTGACTACATGGGGTTTGAACCCTTTGGGTGGGTGCTTAGGAGATGAGCTAACTGCTGTTGGGACTGAAACTTTACAATGCTTTTTTTAGTTTTAAAAAGAAAGTGCTGGCTTTGAAGTCAGCTTGACATTGTTGCTTTCAGCATGGATCTTCTGGTCTTCTGCACCTTAAAATCAGAGCAAAAAGGGGCTGGCTTCCTCTTTATCTTTCTCTCCTAAATAAAAACACACTGCTACTTTCTGAGCCAGCAAAGTTCAGGGTTTTTTTTTTTCTTTTCTCAAAATAGCCAATGATCCGGCAGGGATTTTGTTTGGATCATGCTATGGGAATTCCATGATCTAGGGCTCGAGGTGATTTTGTTCTGTGTCTGCTTTAGGACAGTGTTTTACTTCTGCTGGATTTTGGTTTGCAGGGACATGATTCATGAGTGAATTTGGCCCCTTTCCCAGTGCAAACTCAGCATCTTATAAATAAATAAATAAATAACCTGCAAGTATCGAGAAGCCTGGCCATAAATATTTCAGCAGAAAGCAATATCCACCCCCACCTACCTTCATCTGGCTCTGCCACAGGTGCTTGGTTCAGCGATTGCAAGTCACAATGCTGTGTTTCCATCATGATCCATTTCAAAGGTCTGCAGTAGACGTGGGCCCATGTATGTGCCACCTCTCAGTGCGTGTTTGGGAAGACGTGGTGTTCCAGTATGGCTTTCCAGTATCCCTAGATGCACTGTCAGGTATGTAAATGTGACAGCTCAGGGCCTGAGCCAACTTTTTCCTAAAGAATTGAAGAGTACACAAATAGCATTGCCTGGACTCCGCTGAATTCTGTCTTAAAGGCTAATGAAGTAAAGGAGATCATTGGAATAGATCTTCTTCTACCCAGTGTTCTCTGGCCATTTTGGCTGAACGCGGTCCTGTGGTTCAGCTTTGGTCCCACCGCAACATGGAGGTGCAGTGAGAGCACCAAATTTGTTTCTGGTCGGAGAGCTGAAGCCACAACAAAGCCAGGACTTTCTCTATGAAATGCTGCAGCAGTGTGTTGCAATGCAGCTGATAAAAGCTCACTGGTCCCAATTGTTGAAAAAAGGAAAAAAAAATCTGGGTAAGTATCCTCTTACAGGCTTCATGCCTGGATATTAATATGCATCATCAGGGCTGTGGCATCATTTTTCTGCTGTTACACCCCGAAGAAGGATGTACTCTGATGAATGAAGTGCACCTTCCCTTGGTGAAGCTTGTGAGACCCCTATAAGGAATCACTGCTGGGGAAGCAAGAACTGAGGCCCAGCACACACCATGCATAGCAGCACTACAGCTCAGCTTAAGCACAGCAAGAAGTAGATAAGCTGTTGTGTCCTGCTAGAAGCAGGGATGAGTTCTAAGCAATGGGTGAGGTGGCTCCTAGATGCAGTTGGGATGAATGCACAGAAAAACATACACAGAATTTACCCAGGACGCGCAGATGCTGTCAGATTTGGCTGAAATCAGCCAATGTACTCAAAAACTGAACAGGGCCAAGCAAGACAGGATTTGACTGACAATCAAATCAATCAAATTTGACAGACAAATCATTTCCTTAGGAAATGGGACTAAAAATAGGAGAGGAACACAAGGGAAACTTCTTGACACCCCCCTCTACAGTTGGGTTTTTGTCCTGAAATCTGAGGTTTGGAGCTCTTGCTGATGTCTTCTGGACTCCAGATGGAGTCAAGCTGCAAATGTGGTTCCTGTGAGCACTGGAGTAGTGCTGGAGGAGCACGGACTGATGCAGGGAAGCACGTGCCAGCTTGTCATGGTAAGAGCAGCATAAGTGCAAAGAGAATGGAGCTGGGCTCAGAGGTTGCAGGGCAGGAGCACCATGTAGAAACTATAGCAGCAATTATCACCTCAGTGTTTTGTATCTCCACTTGCTTGTTTCCCTTGTTTTCCAGTGCCCTCTTACCGATGAGAGCTTCAATGGCTGCCACTCTTCTATCTTGGTAGCAATCTTTAGGAAACCCTTCTTCATGTTCAAGGCCAGAACACAATTCTTGGGTCTGTGCATGCACCAGTGCTGTTCAGCTTCACCACGCTTTATGGGCTGTAAATATCTTGTTTTGGGTTACCTTGAGTGCATGTGACCTGGGTTCCACTGTAGGCGAATTCACCAGAGTTTATCAGGCAAAGAGCGGCCCATGTGAGGGATGAGGAAAGCCTTTGGAAGGGAGGCTGGAGCCCTAGAGTGGACTTTGACTGCCCACACTTTCTCGTGTCTGTTCTGGAGTTCTAGCGCTGCTGTCGCCTGTGCCGTCCATGCAAGCGGCATTCTGGAGTTTGCTGAAGGTGGCCGAGATGCTGCGGGGCTTTTCCCTCTTGCTTACCCACAAGCCTAGCAAACGGGAGTTGATCGTTAACTGGGGCTGAGGAGAAGGAGGAGGAGAAGGGGAAGTAGGAGGAGGTGAGCATCCCCCAGCCCGCCTGCACCCAGCCCTGCCCTGCCCCTGGGGCGGAGCGCGGAGCTCCGAGCTGCTGAGCGCAGTGCTGCGAGGGACGGAACGCGGAGCTCTGAGGGACGGAGCCCCGGGCCCGGAATGAGCTTCCCACGGCCCCTGCGGCGCTCCGTCAGCCTGAGCCCTGCCCGAACCCTGCGGCTCGTCGTGCTGGGGCAAGGTGCCGTGGGCAAGACAGGTAGGACCGGGGGGAAGAGGGTCTCCTGTAGGGACTGGGGCGGGATGGGGAGTGAATTCCTCCAGAATTGCCTTCCCTAGCAGCTTGGGTTTGGTTTTCCTTCCTCCCTGCGCTTTGCCCTGCTCTCCCATTGCGAGGATTTAGGGCAGCCCTTCACCCAGCCGGGACTGGCAGTTCTCTTTGCAGCACTCAGGTCTGCCGGAGCACAGCAGCCCCAACCAGCTCTGGAGATGACATTGGGGCTGCCGTGTCCTTGGGTGACATTTTCCTCTCTACCAAGGCACAACCTCTAAAACTGTGCAGTGGTGGCACCTCCACTGGGCTTACTGCCAGCTGTCAGGGCTGTCCGAGTTACGTTTCCATATACAGTAACCAGCCAGCCTCTTGCTTTCCTCTTTCCTTGTGTTATCAAAAAAAAATATATCACGGTTTCCCCCTCTTGCCCTGAAGGGAGATCTTGCTTAAAGATCAGGAACTTGCAGTTCTAGAAATCAAAGGGAATATTAACGTGAAATGCCTAACGAAGGACTCCCCAGGCCTGGCGCTCTCTGTGGGGAAGTTAAAGCACAATTTTCTTACCCACCTCTGCTGCATTCACCTGGATGAACCCAGCTGGGAGCAGTTCTCTGCTCTCCAGAGCAAGTTTCTTAAAGTTCTGGTCTTATGGGAAGGTGTTGCAGCAGCTCAGGCATTTCCATCCTTGTATCCCAACCCCCTGAGGAGGGTTGAGTTTGGGTACAGGTCTGTGGATGAACCCCATTGGTAGCTCCAAGATTAAAACCAGCATAAATCACCCAAGGGAGGCTGGAAGTGCAGCCCTCCCTTGAGCTATCTGCTGCCTTCTGCTGCTGATCCCAGTGTAAACTTCAGAGGGAAGCTCTGCTTACAGAGTGCCAGCTGAAGATGGATTGGTACTATAAAGCTTATGAGAGGGTGTACTGTGCAGTAGGACAAATGCTCAGCACATGGCTGCACGGGGCTGTGGATTTGGCTGCAACACAGCTTGGTCATGCATCACAGCATCCCCTTCATCATCGATAAAGACCAAATTATCCTTATCTGCACTGGGGTTCTCAAAAGAGAGCCCTCTCTGAGGTTGTTTATGTTCAAGATGGGGGGAAAAATAATGCTTTATATGGGTAGTTGGATGTGCTTGGACTTTGCTGCCTTCATCTTGAAGGGCAGCTTCTGGGTTCCTCTGAGCCAATTTCTAATTCTCTTACTGGCTCCTCTACCTGTCCAACACCACACTCTCCTGCACTGAGTGGCTGCTGAACATAATGACATGGGATCAGGTGCTTCCTAGAATTCAGGACTGCTGTGCCTCAGTTTTCCCCAACCATTCAGGTCCCACCTGAAGGATGCTGCTGCACACCTCCTGTGGGATCCTTGGTTATCCCAGCAGAAAGCAAACATCACCTCGGTGTGGGAGCACATCAGTTCTGCTTCCTGCAAGCTTTACATCAACATCTTGCCTTCAGAAGAGTTTAATACCATATTCTGGGTTTGGTGTGTTTCATGCTCCCTTTGCTGCCCTTGTTTTGTTTTTTTCTCCTGCTGTGCTGATGTCTGGCATGCAGCCTCCATGTCCTGCCTCTCTTGGGGCTTTTTATTTGTCCTACCCTCCGTTCCTACACATTTTCCACTGATTTCACTTTCTGCTCCCATTGCCTCTCTCGCCACCTCTTGCTCCTGTCCATAATCATTACCATCATAACCTACTTGAAGTGCTAAAGTCACTCACATCAGCCCTGCTCCTTCAGCCTGCAAACCACTTCTCTGCCCACACCAGAAAATATACCAACAGTGTATTTTCAAAGATACTGCCTACAAAAGGCAACATTGACTGGTTTGCTTCGTCCACCTGCAGCTGGGGGCACATGGATTGGATCTGAGCAAGCTGCCTTGATGGATACAGGTGACAAGGGTGAGGAGAAAGCCCATGCTGTGTTTGGATGACCCTTCAGCATCAGGAGACCTCAGCCAGCCATTTAAGTGTAATTTTGGGCTTCGCATCTCCCTGTCTTGCCAGCAGAGCTGGTAATCAGATAAGAGAGGTTTAATTGCGCATGCTGCCTTTGCAGGGCTTGTTTTGCTGCAGCGCACTGCTGCCATATGGAAGACCTTGCTTAGGATTTCTCCATGCATCCCTCCCAGTTTACTGTGCCCCACAGTACTCCGACTTGGGAGTTCAGATGACTTTTGCCAGATTTTCTGCCAATGGCTTTTATTCCTCCTTGCAATGTGCCTGGGTCAGGTTGAACAAACAGGGCTGAGATTCATGAGACCCATCCAGGCAGTCATAGCATCAGCAGAGGTGATATAGAGGAAGAGCCTGGCCCTACAGCTTGCCTACGCATTGAGTTCGTGTTCACCCACCATAAAACTCAGCATGTGCATAAATCTCTGCAGGATTCAGGGCCAGAAAAAGCAATTTATCAACCCTGACCATGAACCACAAGTACAAGGAGCTGTGTGTTACGAGTTTATGATGACTGGCTTGCTTTCTGCTCCCAGCGACCAAGCAGGATTTGCTTCCCATCCACACGCCCTGAAGGGACATTTCTGACAGCAGAGGGACTCCTGGCAAGGCTAGAGATTGAGTTAGCAGAGTCCCAGGGGCCTGTTGCTGCTTTCCATCCCTGTTCTGCCGAGTTTCATTGTCATGAAAAGTGTTTACACTGCTGAATGAGCAGGCAGCTTTGGGGTGGTGGAGGTATTTGGTGTGTGGAGCTGAGTAACACCCTACTTTCTACTCATAGCATCCCACTGAGCTTTGGTCCTTGATGTGAGTAATTGCCAAAAGCATGCAAAATCCGTGTTCCCAGGGCCTGGGTTAATTAGATATTGGACTAATTCAGGAGGATACAGGAATGTGAAGCATTGCCAAGGTACCTGATGCAGTGCTGGGTTTGCATTGTGGCTGCTGTAATACTATCTCCTACTTCCCTTAGGGGCCGGTCTTTGCTCCAACCCTACTGCCTCCATCAACCAATATTTCTCTATATTTTGCTCTGATGATTATAACTGAGTTTGTTGCTGTTTTTTTTTTTTGTTGTTGTTTGTTTGTTTTGTTTTTTTCTGTTCTTAATAGCACTGACTGTCAGATTCATCACCAGAAGGTTCATTGGAGACTATGACCCAACACTAGGTAGGTAAATTCCTTTTCCTTGCTGCTAATGCTTCTCGAATTCCAAACTCACCGTATTCCCTTGTTTCACCTCAAGCAGACCAGCTGCAGTGGTCAGAGCCAACAGCCATTGTAGCACTTCCCTGTCTCTTGCATCTCTTTTTTTTTTTTTTTTTTTTTGGCAATTGTTTTCATAAGGCAAAACCTATTTTTTTTCCCCTACAAAAGGGAAGTAAGTTTTTCTTCTTTGGACCTTCTCTCTGCCTGCTGCTTTTTCCTTCTTGAGCTCAATAAGATGTTTGAAGGCTGGAGCACCTCTCCTATGATGAAAGGCTGAGGGAGCTAGGCTTGTTTAGCCACATACTAAAATAAAATAGAAAGCAATCCTGGGGATTCTCACTGCTGTGTTTCTCTGTCTGACTTCCTCCAGAAATGATTTACAGACACGTGGCTGTCATTGACGGGGAGATGGTGCACTTTGAGATCCTTGATACAGCAGGACAGGTGAGCTCACAGAGCTGGCTGACCCAGGATTACTGAAATTGGCCATCACTGCTCTTTCACTAGCTTTAATCTGTTATGTCTGAAATACCAGCTGAGTTGTTTATCTCCGAAAAAAAAATGTTTTGGAAAGTTTATGCACTGGATTGCCAGTGAATTGCAGCAGCCCTGCCTTTCTGTACCCTCTGTGGATATGGCAGACACATCAGAGGCCTGTCTGAGCTGTGCCATCCCTACCTTGAGCACTGGGTGCAGGTTTTGGATGCCACAATGTAAGAAGGATATAAAGCTGTTAGCATCCATAGGAGGGCTACGGAGATGGGTAACAGCCTGGAGGATAAGAAGCTGAGGTTGTTCGGTTTGTTGGGCCCAGAGTACAGGATGCTGAGGGGGCACCTAATCGTGGGGTAGTGGTCACGGCCCCAACATGCTGGAGCTTAAGGAGTGTTTGGAGACTGCTCTCAGACCTAAGGTTTGATTGGTCCTGTGTGGAGCCAGGAGTTGGACTCTATGGTCCTTCCCTTCCAATTTAGGATACTCTATGGCTCTGTGATGTTCCAGAAACGTTTAGATGTGGTACATGGGACATGGATTAGTGGGGTAAGGGACATGGATTAGTGGGGAAATGTTGATAGCAGGTGGACAGTTGGACTGGATGATTTTGGAGGTCTTTTCCAACCTTGGTGAGTCTATGATTCTATGCCTCTGTGGTTCTGTTGCAGTCTGTATCCATCACATCTCTCAGCCCAGCAGACTCCTCTCCTGGGCTTGCTTGCTTGCTATCAATGCTATGTGAGAGCTCAGGTCGAAAGATCCTCAGAAATAATGGTGGTGGGTCCCCATGAAAGGTTTTACAGGTTGCAGTGTGTGTATTTAGAAGATGTTGGGGCTTCTCATACTAACGGCAACTTCTCTGCCCCACCAGGAGGAAGATTCCCTGCAGATAGAGGAGAAGATCAAGTGGGGCGATGGCTTTGCAGTGGTCTACTCGGTGACAGACAGGTGCAGCTTTGACGAGGTGATGCGGTTGTGTTTCCTCATCAACCACATCCACTCCAGCCCTAAGCGGAGCAGCGGGAGCGAGCAGCCGCCTGTGGTCATCGTGGCCAACAAGAAGGACTTGCAGTTTGACAGAATGGTGTCCACGCAAGAGGGTGAAAATCTTTCCAAAGCTTTGAAGCTTCCTTTCTATGAGATTTCTACTCGGGACAGCTATGAGGAGACTGTGGCAGTGTTCAATACTCTCTATCAAGAGCTCATGAGGCAGGGGCATTTTTCCCCAGGCTCCTTCAAGAGGAGGACAGTGTCGAAAGTGATGGAGAAGATCCCCAAGATGCAAGCCAGCTCCACCTTGAACTCAGCAGGCCGGAGTCTCAGCTTTAACTCTTTTAGGGACTACATCCCTGAGTGAGCATCCCTGGTGCAGAGGAACAGGACTGAAGGATGGGTCCTCCTGCTGCTGAGGCACCTGTTGTGTAGTGAGGAGCTGCTTTACTTGGGGTTGAAGAGCAGTATGTAGAGCAGGAGGGGAATGTTAAGAGGTGGCATTAGTGTTCAGCAACCTCTGAAAGCCTGGTCACTACAAACAGGCTTTGGGTCTGCAGGAAGGATGCTCTTCCTCTTTCCCACCCATCCTCCTCCTGCTTGATGTCAGCAACAAAGGTTGTTCCTATTGACTTCAGATGTGTTGTGTCAATGCTTGTGGGTCCCAATTGGCTGCACTGGGGATCAGATCCAGCACCCACACCTCCCTATGGGATTTCTGCTTCCCACAGAGAGCTCGCTGGGTCTGTCCCTGTCCCTTCTTTATGTTCCTGGGCTGGCAGGGAGGGCATGTTTTAAAGCAGAGATCTGTTTACAGTAAGGATAAAAAGTCTGCTAATCCCTGGTTTTTCTTAAAAGCTATTTTTTTTAACATCTGAAGCTCCTTGGCATTCTCTCCTGTAACATCACTGTAAATAAAAGCCTGGGCAGGGGGCTGTTTGCTGAGGCTGCCCTTTGTTTGTCATCTCCAGAGCTGCCAGCCTTTAAGGGGAAGCAAATTGGATGGCATCACTGCTGTGCCCTGCAACATTAGGCTTAGGTCACACTGCTCCATCCTGGGGTAATGTCCTTCCTGATGCATGCCCTTGCGCTAGAACTCAGCTCAGTGTGTGTCCTGGACACTCCCAGAGTGCGAGCAGTGGGTGTGGATACAGAGGAGTGCAAATGATTCTTAGTCCCTTATCTGCATTTTAACTGCTCCATCCCTTTAGCTGGATAAGTTGGTGAGGTTTTTATTTTGCTCAGTTTGGCTTTGTTATGGGGCAGCAAAGGAGCCAGGCTTGCATCTTTTTGCTGCTGCATCATCAGTGCCATCGAGTGTCCGCTTGCTAAGCTGCTTCTGTGCAATTTCTCTCAGATGCAGAGCTCTGCTTTGCCACCCCAGGTGAGTTTTTTGGAAGACATGTGGCGTGCCACTGGTGTGTCTTCTGAGAAGCAACTGTGTGCCACTGTGCCCTGTGCCAATAAAAGCTGAGTTAGCACCTGTGTGTGATGCTCTCTTGCCTGGATGTTCCCACAGGAGTGGGGAAGAGATCGTTGTACCATGCTAAAACAGGTATATCACTTTTAGGGAGAGCATGGGTGGGGAATAATCCTTTGAATTGGGGGTTGGTGTCTCCTGTTGCTTTTACTCCACCTTTTTGTGTGCTCCCCCTTTGGTGGTGCAAAAAGGAAGAAGCTGGCAGAGATGAACACCCAGGATTCACAGCCTGAGGATACAACTCATGCTCCTTTCCTGCCCACATGGACACCCCTGATCCCTCATAGCCCCGAAGGTGGGCTGTGGTTGCTGGTGCCTAACCAAGTGCTTCCTCATCTGTGGTTTAACTCAGCTCTGTCTTCCTCTGTGCTTCCTTAGCTCCTTCTCAGCATCTGAATTATCTCCAAAGCAGCAGCAGTGGGAAACACCTCTGGGAACTGTTTGTGGCCAGACACCTGCCTACCTTGAGAACAAAATTTGGGTCTTAAATCCTTGGGGGAAGCTGGCTATGGGGAATCAAGAACTGGGATTTTTTCTCAATCACTGACCCCAAGCAATGGAGTCTGCACCCAAACCCAGCCAGGATGCTGAACACATGCTTGAGTCTTGCCCTGAGCCTGTGTGCAAAGCCAGGAACAGCATAAATCCACATTTTTCAGTATGAATTACTCAAAATAAGGAACAGGAGAGGGGCAGCTTGTGGAAAGCAGGGACCAGCATGCATGTGCTTCCCCTGGGAGCAGAGCACAACAGGGATCGCTGTCCCGAGCTGACCCCAGTGCATCACTATGTTGCCAGGAATCCAGGCAGAGTGTTTGGCCAAATCCTCAGTGCACTTAGTGCTTGCAAGTCAGTCTCTTTGTGAAGACCAAAAGGCTGTTTGGCCTGCTATAATTAGCAAGAAACCTCATTTATTCAACTGCTCTGAGAGGCCAGTGGGGGCTTGTTAGGGCTAATTGCTGAAAGTCTTGAGAGGCTCCTCATAAGAACCCAATGAGCTCCTGCTGAAGATTTTGGTCGGTCTTGGAGGAGTTTCCCCCCTTTGGTGCAGTGTTGGGAGGGTGGCCTCTCCATGGGATGGTCCTCTCCATGGGGACCTGAGGGTTGAAGGTGTTCTTGGGAAGATTTCAGTAGGGCAACCCCATAGATCCTAAATCCATTTGCAGAGGCTTGGGTACTGGGAAGAAGAAGAAGGTCTCATGCTTGCCTTGGAGCGTGTTCTGCACACTCTGGAGGCTCAGGGAAGAAGACTTCAAGCCATATTAGTGGCAGACTTTAGGGCTGTTTAATAGCACAAGGGAGAAAACAGGGATGAATGGAGCTGGGGTGTCCCATGCAGACGCTCTGGGCAAATTATCCCATGCTTTCCTGTTCTGCTGGAAAATGTCAGCTTTCTGGGGACAAGTGCACCTGGGGCCTGTCAGTCCTTCCAGCCTGTTGTCAGGGCTGGGATGGGAACCTGATGGCTGGGCCCCACAGCCAGAAGCTGAAGAGCTTGGGTCTAATCACCCAAAAGGCATTTACAGGGCAGCGATTCAAGTTTGTGAGCGCGTAAGCTGCAAATCTGCTTACCAGATTTCTGGGAAGCTTGGAAGAGGTGAATTAAATGAAAGCGCTCTTTGTAAATGCTCCTTTCCCTCCCATTCACCAAAAGCATCGCCCAAGCTGTCCTGCAGTGCTCCCTTTGTGCTTTCTGAAATGCCTCCTGAAAAAGCAAGATGCAATGATTGGTACATCTTATTTAATTACCCTACATTGCGCTTGGGTTGAGCAAGGTGTGTTCTGCATCCCTACTCTGGATCCTTATGGTACCTGCTCCTCTTATTGTGCTCCTCGTGTGAGGAGCTGTGGTCAGAAAGATGAAGCTGTGCTTACGTGGGTATGGAAAGGCTGTTTTCTACAGGGGGTCCCATGGTGGAGAAGCTGCTTTCTTTCCTTTTGCTGCTCACTATTTGTCATCAACCTTGTGCTAAATAAATGAAATAAACAGAAGGCTTGGATTTATTCTTTCAAGGTCTTTCAGAAGTGTATCTATGGCTTTACTTGGAAAAGAGTTTTGTTGCACCACTGCATCTCCAAACTGTATCCCAGAGATAATGGGGAGCGTGAAGCTGGTGGTGGCCCCTTCAGGCACCTGGAATAAATGCAGCACCTCTAAAGGATTGCTTTGATTTCTGCTCAGAGCTAACAGAGCTGCTTGAGATTCGGATTTTCCAAGTTTCCAGGCTTTACAAGGTTCAGTTTGGGGGTTTTGGGTGCTCTGGTTTGGGAGTTTTGGATGCAGTGGTTTGGGGTGCAGGAGGGAGAGTGGTTTGGGGTGCAGGAGGGATGGTTTCTCTCCAGTGCAAAGGGGTTAAAATAAATAAATTAAAAATAAAAGTGAGACAATAGTCCAGAGCAGTTGTTTCCAAATGCTGCTGCTATTTATATGCCCACATCCTCCATGTGGGTCCTGCTGCTTGGTTTATTGCCATTATAAATAGCTGCTGTGTTGCTGGAGAGCTCAGGGAAAGTCAGGACTGCTTTCCGGGGGAGAAATCTGGGGCTGAGGCTAGGGGTTTCCAGCCATCAAATAAACTATATCACTCTTTGCTTCCTTCACTTCTTGATTCTCTTTAAACTGTTCATCAGCTCTGCTAATGTTCTCCGAAGGCAGAGAGATGCTCAGTGCAGCTGAAGGCTTTTGCTGTCACTGCAAGGAAAGTCTGGGAACTGCAAGGGGAAGAAAAGCAAAAGGAAAAACCCATATAGAGCATCAGGTTGCATCTGCCTGTGTTTGACTTTTGGGGCATTCTGGACAGGTTAGGATAGCAAATGATAGGTACTGAGCTGAGGTCAGGAGGATGAGTATAGCTGAACAGTCCAGCTTTGGGCATCTTCCTTGTGCTCATCCCTATGCATTGTGTATAGTTTTTCTGGGGGGTTAAAAAAAGCAGAGTTTGGGTTGTAGGCACTCCAGTAGTGGGTGATGTGTTCTCCCTGCTAGGGAACATCAGGGAGAGAAGCCAAGTCCTGGAGATGCTCTGCTGCTCCCATCGTTCTTTTGTTCCTGGCAAGCCCCAAATTCTCTCTATATATATTTTTAAAGAAAAACAATAAAAAGAATAACTCATCATTGCTAGTGTGGACTGGGAGTGTTGCTGAGAAGCTATGGCTGTCATCACTTGGAGCTTTGGGGCTGTGTGAAAATATTGATGCTAAGGGCTGGTCCTGGGACCTATGGGCAGAGTCCCACAGTTCTCTTGTTTTTCCAGCCTGGAGCATAACAACAGAGTTTTTAAAAAGGATGCTGTATGCAATCTATGGGCATCAGCAGCAATGGGAACTGTGTTCCCTCCATGCTCCAAGGGTTTGCAAAGCAAATCCCTCAAGACCTCTGTCAACCAGAACCTCGGGAAAGCCCCAAAGGAAAAGAGAAAATGGGTGATTTTGCATTGTTTTGGTGTCTTCTTACCATTGCCACACACTGTTGCATGCTTTTGAGTCTGTGCAAGTTTGGTGACAAGCAATGGGATGAGCAGAGCATGGCTTCATGTGCTCGGCCCCACTGCCACTTCCCTCTAAGGAAGTGCAACCCCCTTTTTAAATCTGTGAAAGTGGGGAAAAGTGGCTCCGTTTTGGGGAGGAGACTGGAAGCCATGTAAGATCATGCAGCAGGGTGGGTTGGCTGGATGGAAACCAGGTGCACTGCCCAAAATATTGTTGTTGTTGTTTTTTTTTCTCACGCAAGCAGTCAAGGATAAGTGATTTTTCTTGGCAATGTGAGAAAAATGTTTGGGATGGGCTAAGAAAGAAAAACACAGAAGTAGGGCTTTGAGCTGTCTGCGGGATCTGCGGGAGTGCACTTAAGTTTGGAATAGGATCATTGAGTTGCTTAGGTTGGAAGGGATCTTGAGGATAACCCAGTGTCACTCCTCCTGCTGTGAGCTGACTACCATCCACCAGATCATGCTGTCCAGGATCCCATCCAACCTGGCCTTCAGCATGTCCAGGGATAGGGCATCCACAGCCTAGAATGAATGGGAAAACTTCCCAAAATTATTGCTTCTACCCTAAAGATGCTGATGGGAGAGTGGGAAGAGGGTTCAGTCCAAGCCCCTGTGGGCAGGATGCTTGGGGTTGGCAAAACATTCTCTAGCAGGGTGGTGTGGAGGGAAAGCTGCTTTTTAAGAAAAGCTTTTTAAAATAAACTCAAGCACCAGCATTTTACTGGGGTACAGCCACTGAGCGTTGCTACCACTGTGCTAGCAGCATCCCCTGGGTTTGCTGTGCACAATTCCTCTAATCCACCCTTGGAGCCCTTTGCTGTCCTGTGGCTGCTGGGATTTAACAGTGTGCCATGTGAGAGAGCTTTTCCTCAAGCTCATCTTGCTGCCAAAGATTTCATCAGACCCCCTCCCAGCCCTGTGGGTGCCAAGAAACTAGGAATCGTTGATGCTGTGCTGCTTTTCTGAAATTTTGCAGCATTGTGCCTCTGTCCTATGGGCTGAGTTATGTGGTGGGTTGATTTTTTTCTATGCTTTTCCCTGTATTTTAACCAGCTCTCAGCACACAACTTTGATGGATTATTTTTTTTTTCCTCCTAGTTGTCTCCAGCTCCTCCCAGAAATCCCAGTGAGCTCCAGCTGAGAGAACTGCGCCCTCTTCTCTCAGCACTTGATACCCATCTCCATTACTTTGCCACCCTCCTCTTCATCATGGATCCAACCCTTTCTCCATGCTTAGGAGCCCGAGTCAGCAGCTGGGAGATGCTTCTCCTCATACAATCAACACGCTTTCCCCACCTCCCGTGTTGGGTATTGCCCATAGTGGAAATATAAATTAATTCTGGAGCCACGCATTGGGGAAAAACCCATCAAGCGCTTTTTAGGTGACAACGAAAGATTTTCAACAAAAGATTTTCTCAATGACCATTCTGAGAACCTCTTGAAGAGCAGAATTTCCTGGGGTGAGTAATGCTGTTGTCTTTGGGTCAAGGCATTGGAGTTGTTGGGTTATTTC